TTATCGGCGAAGGTGTCTTGGACATAAATTCTGCTGTTGGCCATGCACACTTGGCCACTGTTGAATTGAATGCTAAATTTGGTCTCCTGGACGGCATCTTCGAGATCACAATCGTCAAATATAATGGCAGGTGACTTGCCACCCAACTCGAGGACGACATGCTTCAGATTGGACTTTGCTGCTGCGGCCTGGATGAGCCGACCAGTTCGGCACGACCCTGTGAAACTGAGGGCTCGGACGTCCATGTGTGATGATAGTATGGCTCCTGACGTCTGCCCATGTCCGGATAGAACGTTGATGACTCCTGGAGGGAACCCTGCTTTCTCGATCAGAGTGGCAGCTTTCGCGGACTGAGGGGCCGAGTGTCAGCAAAGCTCTTGGTCGATTGCAGGCTTCACATACCGTTAGGGGCGCTTTCTCGCTGCTCTTCAAGACAACAGTGTTTCCGGCTGCAAGAGCCGGGGCGACCTTGCTTGCGAAGAATAAGAGCGGAACGTTCCAGGGGATGATGGCGGCGACAACCCCGTACGGCTGCTTGAATGTCATGTTGACAAAACCTGGGGTATTCAAGCTGCTGACACCCTGGGCATCATATCCAGCCTCCGCATAATGCTCAAAGGTGCTTGCAGCGGCATGATTGTCGTAATACGTCGACACCGGCCGACCCATCGAAAGAGCCTCTAGTCGAGAAAATTCCTCACCACTTTCGACCAACAGGGCTGCCAGTTTTTTCATGTACACACCTCTGTCGGCAGGAGAGAGAGCAGACCATGCTGGAAAGGCTGCTTTGGCGGCAGCTACAGCGGCATCGGTGTCCTTTTCGCTGGCTTCGTACACTAAATGGGAGATCAGCATTGCATTTGCATTGTATTTGCACTTGGAAGTTGGTTATGTACCTTCAGCGACAACTTCCCTCGTCGCTGGTGACCTGATAGGGAACGTCTTTCCGTCCGAAGACTCGACGAACTATACCGACATCAATACCATCGTTGGCATCATTGAGGATTTAACATACCTTGCCATTGATGAACAGCCTTGTCTCTATCTTGCCCGTGGAACCCATTTTGGCTTATTCGCAATCGATGAGATGGTTTTTCGTGTTGCTTCAGACGAGATTGTCGATAGTTGTCAATACAGGGGAATGGAGGCCACGCATGTCAATTTCTAATCGTCAAGAACATTCTACACAGATGTAACTGCCGATATGGACGGAGATACGCCTAGCATCTGTCCCATCGGAAGAGGCACCCGAAGTTGCCGCGCCCCCAGTGGGGGATCCCCGACATACGAGTGCTTGTACAAGATCTAGAACCTCGTATTCCTTGTTCGATCCCAGGATGGCGGGGGCTGACTGCGGGTTTTTGGTAGCGCATAGCCTCGTCCTCCCCCGAAGCGGCAGTTCGTTTGAATGGCAGCGAGCACTCCATATCTATCCCTCCACAACGAACCTCGATCCGGGGGTGGACCTGGCTTGAGCATGCCTGTAGACAGGTTGTCGGCTTACAGAGACCTTCAGAAGACGAACCTGAGCTTTCCCAGTCACTCATTAGAGAATCTTTTCCATACTCGGCCGCCGGAGTACGGACGTAGGAGGAATCGTTATGCCGTTGCTGACCGCAGAACTTCAGGTCAGACGACACCGGTGCTCCTCCGACAAATCCAGCATTACGAGACGGCATGCACTAGATAAAGAGACAAGCTTCATATGTTCTGTTCCAGGAAATATGCGCCTATATCGAGCTTCTGTGCCGGAATGTTCGAACTTGTGCATTACTATCCACCATGTACGCCATTCGATCCAGCACCATTGACTCCATTCTGCTCACTCTGACCCTGCTCCCTCTGGCGGATCTGCCAGGGTAAAGGCTCTTTGGCTGGCTGGGCCGGCCCAATATCGCCGGATTCGGACCGTCTCTTCTGCCATTCATCGATGTCTCTATGGTCGACAAAATTGCCGTGTAAGCCTAGCTTCAGCTTGAATGGCAAGTGGATCACCGCTAGCGGTCCTTTGGCCACGTCGAGCGCATCCATAATCACAATGTCGTTTCGAAGGACGTCGAGTTGGTTGAGCAGGGCGATGAGATATCCCTCTCCCTCGGAACCTCCGTCCTTGGGGATGAATGTGGGTTCTTGGAAGGTCGCCGTCGGTCCCGCGAAGAAGACGTCTTCGGTCCTGTCATCCCAGCTGTAATGGCCGAGACAGTTAAACAAGCCGCCTGCTGGTGGTCCACACTTTGCAAAATCATAAGGCTTCGTCGGGTCGACTTTGGCTTGCCAAAAGTGGTTGTACTTTTTGGTCACGAATCGGTCGTCGATTCGAGAAAACTCGCCGTTTGTCATCCAGGTTTCGGCGGGCGTCACCCGTGTTCCTGACTTTGCTCTAGGATCAAATATCCATCGGGTGGTCGGACTGCTCAGTTGATTGCGCTTGGCCAGGGGACCCTCAGCCTCGCCGAGAGGTGGGAAGAAGAAGAAGACATTGCCATCAGCGACTGTGAGGTCGAAAACGATGTGGCCGTCTTCGTTCTCATAGCATCCCGCGATATGTCCGTGGAACCCTGTTCAGGAGGTAAATGCTCAGACAAGTCAGACTTTGACAGGTATGTTTGAACGCACTCACCATTGTCAGCTCGAAACCAGACAATGTCTTCCGACTTGCCTCCTCTTCTGGGAACAACGCCATACCACTGATCCTCATTGGGATCCCAGGCCCAGTGGTTCCCTCCGCCCTTTAACGTCTCGATGCCTGTCCACTTGATCGGTGTCAACGGCAACACCATGTAATTCTTACTGACGCCACAGTCGTGAATCATTCCGCAAAACGGGGCCTTGTACCAACATTCCTCGGTCTTCTTCCCATCCTTGTCGATGGTCCACACCACAATGTCATTGGAGCCGTCGTGGCCGTCCCCGCCGGCCTCGTACGCAAAGCACAGCATTTCTCCCGTGTCGGGGTCGAACTTGGGATGGGCCGTGAAGGTGGGTGTGAGGATCTGTCCCTCGAAATCGTACCGGCCGATTGTTTCCAAAGAGACGGGGTCCATGATGTACGGGGGGCCGTCCTCCTTGCTCGCCAGCAAGACGCCGCGCCAGAAGGTGATGTTGGTGTTTGCCGCGGTCCGCACCACCCCTTTGACCGTCTCATTGTCCGTGAAGGGGTTTCTGTACCTCCCGAACAGCGCTCTTCTCGCGCTCGTCTCGGCCATGTAACGATCCGTCCGGACATAGCGCTGCTTGAAGTCGGCGTGCCCGTTTTGGATCCGGATCGCCGTCACGCTCCCGTCGCCGTTGAAGTGGATGTCGTCCTCGAAGACGGGCGGGAACCGGTGGTCCGGTTGCACGCGGTAAAAGGTCCCGTCGATCTCGGGCGGGATTTTACCACTGAATTCCAGGTCGAACACGTCGCCCTCGATGCGCGACGGTTTGTTGAAGCCCTGGAACACGCCCGTGGCGGGGTACTGGACCTGGTCGGTGGCTTTGATGCCGTCCTTGTAGTTTCTTGCCACAAGTTTGGGGGCGAGGTCGAAGATGTGTGCCATTATGGCAGGAGTGCGCGAGGTTGTTGACGGGATGTCAGAAAGGGTGGGGGGGATTGGATTGTATATGTATATGATCTTTGTGCTCTCTGGCCTGATGTGCCTGTCCCTTCTTCTATATTCCCCTCCTCTCTGTTTCCGGTACACCTCCTCTAGATCCTTTGTTAGATCCAATCCATTCTCCGTCTGCCTTATGGTCCTAGGGTGTATGTCGATCTATAGATATGTAGATGTCCTTAGGTGTATATGTATGTATGTATGTAGTATAAGGATGAATGGACGTCGACTTTCATCCCCTTTTGTGCCCCGACTGTGTATTTCTACGTGCTAGTAGTAATAATACTCGCCACTACCTATCTTACCTATGTAAATCGGGTTTTGCATGTCTTGTATGGCTCCTAGGTAGTAGCATTCGGTGTAGCGGCACCCTGTAATACCGTATTCGGTCGGTATTCTCTCACCTCGCCCGATTTGGCATGTGGGCGAGATGGAAAATGCAACTGCCGACAAGCGCGAGTTCGAGTGTCCCCTACAAACGGACCTACCGACCGACCGACCACAGGATTCGCTTTCGATACTACCTATTCCCCCTCCTCCCTGCGTCCCGTCTTATGCGCTTCCCCATTCCTCGATTTTTGGGGGTTTCTAATCTCCGCGTTGAGTAAGGGAGAGAGGGGTAATATAGATGTCAAAATCCATTATCAGATTCGGGAAAGTCTGCCATGTCCGCACACTTCGTCCCTCTTAAGCCTCTCACTCACACACACACACACACACACACACCTCTCTTTCTCTGACCAGCCTAGAGAGCGACAGGTCGGAGGAGAACCCTAGCGTCTTCGGGGGTCTGGGGGCCAGTTGACTTTCGAAACCTGGGGGAGGTGGCGTTTCTCATATGGCCGTTATGGGCGCGGCGTTTACACTCTCTGTGCAGATAGGGACATGGGTTAGCTAATTAGGTCTATTTCCACCCGGCCCCGGTTCATCGTTGTCAGGCTGTTTGTCAATTGGTACATGAGTCAAAGAGTCAACGGGTCAAAGTCAAATGCCCTTGGGTTTATGTCTCGGATTGCATTACATCCAGTTGAGTGAGACTAGTCACTATTGAGCGTGACGATATTTATACCGAGTACACCGATGCTTATGATATGCTGTTGAAGTGGGTGCCTTTTATTGCTTAACTAGTGGGCTTCAAGAGGGTATAGATTTTGAGATAGATAGGTTGATTAGATACCGAAATATGTAGGCAGGGAGGCATAGATCCTGCGTATTCGTAGATCCACATATCTTGTAAACTTCGCCTATTTCTGGATACGTTACCTTATCACAATCACAATTGGGTAGGGTAGGGTAGGTTAGGGGTAGACCAATCTCTTTCGCTCGCTGTTCGCATCTAACACAGCTCCCTAGGATAGAACATCACCCCCGTTATCCTGTCCAGATAGAATCGGAAAATCATGGTTTTTACGCAGGTGTGGTGTCGGCAATCTCACCATTCTCTGCCACCACCTTCTTCGCCTCCTCGGCCTCCTTCTCCTGCTGATCCTTGGGCAACGCAATACTCAACGGCGGCAAGCTCGTACTCACGTCCTCGCCGTACTTTGGGGCGCGCAGGTCGTCATCCTTGACCATCCTCCCGGTCACCGGATGCGGGTAATGGAACGGCACGACGCGCGTGTCGGGCCACAGCATCTTCTGCTCGAGCAGCTCGTCCGGGCCGAGAGGATCTTCTGGAAACGTCTTGGTCGGCCAGGGGATGTAGTTCTTCTTGGTGTGGGCCCAGCCGCGCTCAAAGTCGGCGTGCCAGAAGGGGAAGTAGCGGTAGCGGAAGGGCTTCCACACGCCGTCCTCCTTGATGTACTCGTTCTCGTACACGCCGCCCTCCCACCACTGGGCGTGGCCGCGCGGGTGCTCCTCCTGGATCGACTGGTGCGTGCCCGCCGACATGAGCGCGCGGATCCGCGCCCACGCCCGCGTCCCCGTCGCGTCCACGTCCACAATCTCCTGCATCATTGGGTGGTCGAGCAGGAAGCCGTACACGGGGCCGTTGCGGCCCTTGACGAAGTGCGTCTGGAACCGTCCGATGTAGAGCCGTCGGATGCCCTCCTTGCGTCGGTAGCGCGAGCCGAGAAACTCGACGTACGCGTCAGGGTGGTTGGAGAACATGTCGACGACCTGGGTGGGTGCGTTAGATTTGTTCTGGTCTCTCTTTGTCGTCATATGTGTCTGTTTGTTCTGCGATGTATATATTGTCTTTTTCACAAAGTGACTCGATTCTAGCCAGGGAAGGGGCAAATACTGACCTCATTATAGAGACACTTGTCGATATAATACCCGTATTTGAAATGGACCTTGCGGATTTCCGCCTCGTCTAAAAACACCGATAATCAGACATGGTGTTCGAAAGTCAACGGACTGTAGTGTGTCATCCCCCTTTTTTTATTACCCAGTTTTTCTTCCCTTGTTGTTTGCCTCTGCAATCTTTGCTTTTTTTGAGGGGCGGGAAGCATAAGTGTCAACGACATAAAGGGAACACTACATCGTGTCCTTTTGTATTTGTTTTCCGAGTAACTTACCTTCGACCTTTTGCAGCTTCGCGTGAAGACGCTTGACTTCGGCCTTGAGCTCGGCGAGTTCGGCCTCCATTGTTATTGTACCTTATAACACCCGGACCTGGACCTGGATCCGGAGCTGGTGACGACGTTGATATTTTGTTCGAATCGTATCGTGTATCGTGGTCCGAGAAAGCATGAAAGTAGTTCACTTGTTCACTCGATAATAAAATAAGTCCTTCACGCTCTCGAGCCTGAGCCTGAGCCTGAGGGGTATTGTCTGAAAAGATACTTGAGACAGGACCTGCGTTTTTGTAAGATGTCGGCTGGCTGTCCAAACCCTGGCTGGAGCTTAGTATCCCAGGGGTCATGAACGGAGTTACTTACCCGCTTACCTACATTAGATATATGAACATACCTACCACCCACCTCCCTAAAAGTAGGCATGTAGGTACGTATGTACGTATGTACCCAGCTAGGGAGATAGTACCCAAGTCTCCGCATTTTTGCACCTCTCTCTCTCTCTCTCTCTTTCGACACATCGTCACCGTGGCCGTTCTCCAAAAAGAGCGAATGCCCCATGTTTCGTTTGCGAAGAACCCCTCGGGGTCCCGCGGTGCTAGTGTAGTGCTAGTGCTTGTGCTTGCTTGTAGGTGGTAGGTAGTAGGTAGCAATGGCTGGAGAATGATGGCGATGGTGACGGATCGATCATGCAGGGAACGAAGAACGGACGGGTCTTCAGGAGTTACTTACCAGGCTACCTACCGGGGTTACCTACCTAGGTACATGATAGGTGCGAGTTGTCGATAGCTCGAAAGACGGGGAGATCATTTTCAGGGCCAGGTAGTAGATGGCATAGACGAGACACCAGACACCCTCACAACCTACATCGTGTCTGGACATGGGTCTTGTCTGGTTCCTGTTCGTGTCAACTGCCGAAGTCATGTCCAATGTCCAGAATATCACATCTCATCGTGCCCCTCCTCTTCTACCCTGGCACGCCTGGGCAGTCACCCCGCAACCCCGCGTGGGGTTCGATGCGTTCCAAAAAGGGACGGACAAGGCTGCACCAACAAGAGTATCAGAGGAGTGTTCACTAGGCTGGCCTACCTGTAACGAGTCCCCTGAATCATGTCTGTGATGACCATGGTACCTTCTTTTCTATCACAGAGGTCGCATAGCAATGACCCGCAATCCCTATTCACGATTTTCCGTGCGTTATGTCCTTCTTGGTTCTCCCACCCACCCACACTTTCGTCAAGTTCCTATCGTCCCCCGTCATGACCCATTTCTCCCAGACCTGTCTGATCCCTTGGGCGGTTCGGCTTTCGCCGTCCATCATGGTGTGCACTCCCGCGTAAATAGACTCACCTTGGTGAGGAGGAGGATCGCTCATGTCCACCAAAAGCGCGTCGAACTGTTTTCCCACCTCGAACGAGCCGACCCGGTCATCCATCCGCAGCACTCTAGCTCCGCCCAGCGTCGCCATGTAGAAGATCTCGTCCAGCTTCAATCGCTCTTCTTTCCCTCCCGAGATCATCTCGCGTGCGTTGCCCACGATCACGGCCAGGCGCATGGCGTCCATGATGCTGCATGAGAAGCCACCTCCCGAGTCGGTGCCCAGGCCGATCTTCTTGACCCCGTCGGACAGGAGTTTGCGGATCGGGGCGGCCATGAATCCGCCGCCGACGGTGGTGTTGGACGCCGGACAATGGGCGATTCCACAGCCTTGTTGCTTGATCTTGGCCTGGTCAGCTTCGCTGGGCAGTGTGCAGTGTGCGAGCACCGAGTTGTGGTCAAACAGCCCATAGTGTGCGTACAAGTCGGCTTCGCAGGTAAATCCCTTGTACTGATTTAACGTGGTGTCGATCTCTTGTTGAGCTTCACAAAAGTGCGTTTGGTTCGGGACGCCTTGTCCGACTCCATAAGCATGCTCGTGCTCCTTGGCCAGTTTTCCTAGCTCTGTCAGAGACTCTGAGGTGCAACTTATTGCAAACCGCGGCGTCAGGATGGGCCTGACCATGTCGCCTCTCTCATCGACGGCTCGACAATGCCGAATCACCTCTTGAGTTCCAGCCACCGCGTCCGCAGTGTCTTCCCGGTAATACGCCGGGTTGGTGTCAGGGTTATTCATGCACGTCTTCCCCACAAACGCCCGCTGGCCCTTTTCGAGACACACATCCACGAGGATCTTGGTCGCTGGCGTGTGCAGGCTGCCAAAGTAGCACGCCGTGGTCACGCCCTGGCGGAGACCCAGATCGACACATCTCGAGTAAACCTGCCTTGCGTAGTCGGTGTCGCGGAACTTAGCTTCGTGTGGGAAGGTGATTTGATCCAACCACTCCAGAATATGGAGGCCTTGGCCGAGACCGCGCATGGAGAATTGAGGTGCGTGGACATGGGTGTCGATGAAGGACGGAACGAGGAATTGGCTGGGTGACTCTAAGCGAACGACGGGTAGTTGAGTGTCGGGTCGGTTGAGCAATGATCCAATGCTATCCTCTAGACTTCGTCCGTTTTCAGGCTCGAACTGTGGATAGATGTGACTTATCTTGCCGGTGTCATCGACTATGATCAGCGTGTCGGTGAGGATCTCGATATCTGACGTGGTCCGGGAGTGTATCAGGGTACCGTAGTACGCAAAGGGGCCTTCCATGACGGTTAGATCATAAAGGACTGCGTGGTTTAGTTAAGCACTCGGTACCGACGTCTAGACTCGCAGGGCATCAGTCCCATGAGCGACGGATGAAGCCGTAATGTGTCTTATCACGTTCAATTACTCCCTCAACGTGTCAGTGTTACAATTCGCGGTATCAAAACCCTCGCTTCACCTTCCTCTGCTGAGTCCTCACTACAGCCCCTTGAGCGACTGAGTGACCAAAGCCTTGCGGGTCTCTGGACTGCGCCACTTGCGCCACCCGGGCACCATGCGAATCTGCCTCTTTCCCCGGTCCAAGCTTTCCAAGGTTGATTTGACCCAGCTGAGGTCGAATAGAGATGCCTTCTCCTCTTCCGTATGATCAAGAGCAGGCAACAATGGCCCCAGCACAGCCCCAGCGCGTGGGGGGAGAACCGCCTTTGATTTCGTGCCTCGATCTCTACATATACCACTGGAATCATGGAAGGGATGGTTTATTCTCTGAAACTATGAGAAAGACAAGAACGGCGACGGTGCCTTTTCAGACCAGATGAGTACCATTGGCAATGCTAGCTATATTACCCTTCCCGCCCTCCCCCATATCATCACCGAGTGGTCCGCTCTGGTGCCGCTGATCGTGCACCTCGCCAGCTCACACGACGAGTTCCAGGTCATAGGCGACGCGTGTCTCCGGGGGAAAATCTGCCTCGATCTCATGCCCAAGCTCGGCCAGCTCAAGGGTGTGGCCAGACTGCTCTTGCTAGGATCGGCTGTGCTCGACCAGACAAGCAGCGCAGGTGTCGCAGGGTCGACCACCGTGTGGGATGTCTCCTGGGGCAGCGTGTTCCAGTGCGCCAACGGTGCCGCGCGAGAGCTGCTCACTGCACACGCCTTCCGAGGGAAGACCGAGATCATCGATGTTGAGACCACGGCACCAGAGCAGACTGGCAATGGGGGAGGACATCAGCCACAGCCAAAGGTGGACGGAAAGCCTCCGACGAAAACGTCCATGCCCAAGAACGTCGCCTTCTGCAGACCGCAGGTACTGCACCTTGTCGAGTTGCGCTTCAACAAGGCTTCCGCGGGCAGCAAACGCACTGCCACATCCAGTCTCTTAGAGCGACTGTGCACTGTATCCGGCCATGTTCTCGTCACCGCACTCGCAGGGTTGCTGGCGCTGTGCGGTGCCTATGGGACATGTGCCCTCCTCCTGCTATCCTGCATCAATGCGCTGATCAACCATCGCCTCCCCTTTCATCGGCCGCCGGGATACCTCGACAACAACGAAACGTATGATGCCGCCTGTATGCTGGTGGCGCCACACGACAATGCGTCGACCTGGCATCTCTACCGCGGCGACCGCGCCATCATCGACAGGCTGCTTAACAAGCCCATGTTGGCCATCACCACGGAGCGGTCTTGCAGATGGCTCTTCTGGTATTTCCAGCTCACGCACTACCTCCAGCTGTTGGCCATGACATACGTAGCCGCCCAGAAGGGCTGGGACGGTTTGTTGTTGCTCGTCTTCATGGTCATCTCGCGGCTAGCTCGTTCCGAGGCAGCAGCGTTTATGATGCCCTGGTCTTCGCGAGCCCAAGGAGCCGCTGCCACTTGGCTTCAAGAAAACAATATCGAAGTCCAGACGAACACGTTCCGCATGGCGGGCCGCACGCAGATGATTGGCGCAATCGACTTGATCAATAGCATGGACCAGAATAAGTACTCATCCTTGTCCTCGTCGCCATTGTTATCAACATCATCTCCTTCTCCTTGTCCGCCCGGACAACATACTGACACGGGCAGCCCCGGGTATAGTACTTCCTCTTCCACAAGCTCTCATACCTTGAACTTTAGGAATCGAAGTCTACGCGCAAACTGGATGGATAGCATCATTGCCCACTCGCCACGTCGCGAACAATGGCTGGAGCGCTTGAGTTCGACTATGATGGCACAGATGCAGCAGCTCAGCCATTCCACAGTGACAGATGGAAATAGACCTGTGAACATACCGACGCTCGATGCGAACCTTGTACAGCAAGTGAGCAATCCCAGTCCCAAGGGAGCAGATACCGAGCAACCAAGCGCGGATGACAACGAACTCCCCGTAACCGCTGATAGACCTAGCTGCGAGCCGGCGAGTATGTCCTCCCAAACGAACAAGGCGCAAGAGCAGCTAGGAGCCTCGATATCTGGGGCAGAGCCACAATCAGTCAATGCCGATGACGTTGACAAGTCATCACTTCCGAAAGCCGGAGGAAATGCTGCCGCTGATATTGGAATCTCTTCGAGTCTGAATCCGAGAGACGTAAGATGGGTAGATCAGAACACTCTGTGGGCGTGGGAGACGGCACGGTGCATAATCCAGTCTTGCGCTGCGGCTTCTTCTGTTACGCCAACTTCCTCGCAGAGGCTGAGAAGTGCACGGATAACCGCCGTTCAAGCATAAGATGGAAATTGTTCAAGTCTATCCAGAGACTTGATCCTGATCCTGAAAGCTGCCACAATGTTGGTGTGCTACACTTCGGCACCCTGACTACCTCTTGTAAGGGGACAGGGATAGTGTGAGGGCTAGAGTGGTGATGAGACACGTTGAGCCAAAACACTTCGGCCACCCACGCTGTGATATGAGTTAGACGAAGAGCGGACGGATAGCTTTAGACTAAGGCACCGAGGAGTTCTGTATTTTTTGGTCTATTGTGGTGGCGAAATCGGCAAAAATGGGACATAACCCGCATTTTCCGTATCGTTCAACCAGTTCTGAAGACTCCTCTGAATCATGACCATTCGTTGCTGGAGCGTCATTGGCGGTGTTCGGCACGTCTTTTGCGCCTTCGACCAAGGCCCCAAAGCCAGTATCGATGGGAACTGAGCCTAGAAAGGGAACATTGGCTTCACTAGCCATGATCTGGCCTCCGCCTTTGCTGAAGACATTGCTTATCTCGCCACAGCAGGGGCACATGTAACCCGCCATGTTTTCAATGACTCCAAGCACTGGTACCTGAGTCTTTACACAGAAGTTCAGCTCTTTGCGCACATCTGCTGTCGCAATAGCCTGCGGAGTAGTGACAACCACTGCCCCAGAAAGTTTTGGCCTGCCGTCAATTTCGAGGGCTAGGCCATTGCCGTTAGACGCTGTCACAGGTTGGACATCGGCTGCAAGTTTGTGTAGTTCCTCGACAATGGCAATGTGCTCGTCACTGGTGCCCGGTGGGGTATCAATAAGAAGGTAGTCTGTATTCGGCGGCCATAGAACGTCGGAAACGAACTGTCTGATCATTGCCGTCTTCTTTGGTCCACGCCAGATGACAGCCGACGAGCGGGAAGGAAGGAGGAATGCTAGAGACAGGGCGTGGAGGGAGCCTCTGGCGGGTTTGTCTTTCTCCCCTGCATCTCTTGCGTCATGTACCTTGACCGGTAGCCAGCCACCAGGAGCCTGTGTCACTTTCTTGTCCTCCAGATTGAGGAGACGAGGTATAGAGGGTCCGGTGAGATCGATATCAAGGATTCCGACATTGTGACCCTGCCGTGTAAGGGAGAGGGCGAGTTGCAGAGTGACACTTGATTTTCCGACCCCTCCTTTGCCCGAGAGGATGAGCACGACGTGCTTGATGTTCTCGAGACCCATACCGCCTAAGAAAACTGTTATTGAGAAATGAACATACTCGAGGTCAGCGCAGGGAATGGGTTGAAATAAATCGCAGTTGACGCAGTTGGTGAGTGCACGATCCGACAAAAGGATTGTTAAGCAGGGACGGAGATTGCCGGGTGGTGGCGTTGACAATTTTCAGTTCAGCCTTGGTGGGCGCGATTGGGTGGTCGATCCAGTCTGACGAGCTGCTGCTAGCTTGGAAAAGCCCCGGGGGCCAGCAGCCTTACCTGGTGCCTGGGTAGGCCCGTGGCTACCGGGGGTGTGAACTTCGCGGGGGTGGCGTTAAGCGGTCCAGGTACAAGACAATAGGCATTGGATGGGTATCATTCAACCGTTTTCGTTTGAAATCCTGCCTGCGCTTGCTGCGCCTCCCCTGGTCGAGTTAAAGAATGATTCGGATTCAGAGGAACTTGAAAGCAATGTATCCAGGGACTTGCACACTATCCTTAGACAATTTTCTCCCTTCGGCAGTGAGTCCCTCATATTCAGCGAAAGAGCACCGCAGCATGTGCAGTTGATGTTATGGAGGGGCACGTGCTTGCACATGCGACCAGATATATATACCTCTATGCGCGGAGTCGCTATACAAGTAGTAGCTCATGCAAAGCGCCTCGTATTTGTTTCAGTCAAAATTCAGACCCCTGCTGCCCCTCGTTCTACTGGTGCTTCCCTCTGACCCTTCGGTTGTTCCGGAAGTTGCATTGTCTGGTGATGGTGGTGTTGATACTGTGAAGGCAGAGCCATCCTTCAGTGGCCCCCTGTCAACTAATCCAGCGCTAATCAAGATTTTTCGCAGCACCCGGGACCTTTCGTCATCGGTGCCGAGGCGGCGGGGTTCCCTGGCACCCCTGGGCATCTCACTGGCCGCTGGGCAGCGTCTCCGCCCCGAAATTTCCAGCTGGCGGTGTCCACTCACTCACCACTGCCCGTCACACACAAAGCTGCCACTTCTTTTTCTGGTGCGACATCAACATTCAACGCACAATTTTGCCTCTTTTGATCCCTCTACCACACCTACTGCCATTTCAACTTCTGCAAAGTTGCCAATTGCTACATTGTTGTGCTCATCATCCCCTCTACTCGTGTAATTTCAGGCTGCCCTCTCCATTGCAGACAGTCCATCGAACCAGTGGTCAGAATTTCTGCTGAGGCATTTTTTACACCGCTGCCCACAATTTTCACCACCACAACCGCAGCCCTGGCGAACCTCACTAGTTGAGTGATTCACTCGATGCTCAGGCTGTGATAGCCATCCTTCATCCCCAGCGACTACTAGCAATATCTCTATGAGCCGCAAGGACCTGCTTCGCTTCCTATCTAAGCCAGCAAAGTACGTCCCGTCTCTTCCAAGTCCCCATTGACTGAGGCAGTGCTCACTCGAGAAATAGGCCCAGATAACACCTGCTACTTGCGGGTTTACAACAAAGTCTCACAGCGAACCGTCCACCGAACAAAAGCCTCCTCATCAAAGATAACAAACACCTCTCACACTTTTGAGCGCTATCAAAATTTGATCAGGAAGCGCGCACAAATACTGCCCACAATTCCGTTCGTGCAGGAAATCTTCTTCCTCCTCTCCTCCACCAGGCCTCCATAACGACCCCTCAGAAGGGATTTCAAACCACATAACACACTGCTGCTGGCAAAAGCCAGCCTCCATTTCTCCCACCGCATAGTGGGCCTTCTCTTCTCAGGCGGACACCGCATTGTTCGTCTGGGTGGCAGATAGTGCTTCACTGAATCGTCAGATCAGTGGTCCTTCACCTTCTTGCCCACAACACTCCAACACTTCCGATAGCCGAGAGGACTCTGTCCACACCTTCGAAAAGGATATGGTACACATTGGGATCCCCAAGCATTATACAACTTCGCCATCGAGTTTTAGTCACACTCCCTCGTTGACTATCAATCATGAAGTTGCGCTAGATCTGGATTCTAGCAATGCCTTTGAAGGTAAGTTCTTGTTCGTCTGTGTTGCTTTCGTGTCTGACTGTATTCAAGGTCCCGAGAAACTTTTGGAAGTATGGTTCAGTCCGTCGTCAGACGCTCTCCAGGGCTGCTCGGAGCCCACCGGACTCAAGGCCGTGCCGTCCGAGGTGTGGAAGTCCATGCTAGACCTGGTCAATTGCAAAGTCTTGTCCATCATCGAGTCCGAAGACGTTGATGCTTATCTGCTTTCTGAGTCGAGCATGTTTGTCTTTCCCCACAAACTTATATTGAAGACATGCGGGACCACGACCTTGCTTTGCGGGTTGCCACGTATCCTCGAGATCGCGGTTCTCTTTGGAGGCTTCCCACGTGCGACTGCTCCACCGTCTAATGGTATTGCCGTTGCGGCCGCTCCATACCGCGTTTTCTACAGTCGCAAGAACTACCTGTTCCCTGACCGCCAGCGGGGTCCACACCGCAGCTGGCGCGACGAAGTGTACACTCTTGACAAACTCTTTGTTGGTGGGAGTGCGTACATGATTGGCAAGATGAACGGCGAGCATTGGTACTTGTACTTGACTGAACCATACACCATGTTGACGCCACCAGCCAGCCCACAGAGCATGGATAGTCCAGGGACTGAGACCAAGATGCTCGAACTACCAACGTCGCTGGTGGTCGACCGTGGTTCGAAGGTGTGCGAAGGTGAAGACGAAACTCTCGAGATCCTCATGACTGATTTGGACGAGGAGAATGCTAGACAATTCTACCTCGACCATGCGAGTGCGGTCGCAGAAGATCAGTGGAGAGGATCTCAAAAAGGGCGAGACGATCACATCGATGTATTCAGCAACGCATCTTCTGATGACAGCGACATTTCTATCAAGGAAGAGGCCTTTCCATCGGAACTCACCACTGAAGGTCATGCTCTTGGCACCGTCGTGTCTGACGCGTGCGGCCTTTCTAACGTTTATCCGGCCGACAAGTACCCAGAGGCTCGAGTTGATGCATATCTCTTTACTCCATGCGGCTTCTCGGCCAACGGAGTCATCCCAGCCCCTAATGGACAGAAAGGGACTCACTATTTCACTGTCCATGTGACTCCAGAACCGATCTGCTCTTACGCATCTTTCGAGACCAATGTCCCTTGCGGCCAGAAGGGTCGTGAAACGGCTGACATCATTCAGCACGTGGTAGACATTTTCAAGCCTGGCCGATTCTCTGTCACCATTTTCGAAGCTACCTCTTCTTTCGAGGAGAAGGCGTACGCTGATCATGATGAGCTGGCTGAAATCAGAATGTTGGAGCGACAGGCTGCTCGTCGCAACACCAAGATGGATGCCATCAAAGGTTACCGTCGTGTCGATCGCATTGTTCATGACCTTGATGGCTACGACTTGGTCTTCCGACACTATGAGCGCCACGACTGGAAGGGTGGAGCTCCGCGAATTGGGGAGTAGTGAAGGGGTGGTCCTGTGGGCGATGAGGATTAATCATGCAGGCGACACGGCTTTGTGGTCGGCAGAAGCGAGGAGCCGTGAGGAGGGAGATTGGTGTGCTCAAAAGTGCCTTTTGGAACTTTTCTGGCTATGATGATTTTGACGATTTCTTGCAGTACTTCCACTCCTTTGACCCAGCCATAGCTATCAATAGAGCTCAACGAATAATGGCATATGTTCCACATCTGGTGTTGCCTCTTCGACAGTGACAGGATCCGTCGTGGTGTCCTATCGAATAGGGCGCTCAGTCGTTTGAGCTCGTGACTGATGCAATCAACATCAGGACTCATCTTATGATCGAACAGACCTAAGGGTCTATAGTAGATCAGGGGTATCGATCTTCCTTGACTAAGGGGCTCAGCCTTGGCA